ACCTACAAGTTTAAATGCTTTTGACCAAATCGCTTCATGTGTTCCCTCATGAAAAAAATCTACGGGTCCACCCAAATTCACTATTTCTCGTGGATTATAACCCACAAGTTTGAACGTTTTCGACCCAATTAATTATTGTGTTCTCGCATATAAATGTTTATTCTATCTCCTATATTAACGATTTTTTGGACTATAACCCACAATTTTGATGGTTTTACGGCAAATCACATTTTCCTTTCCTATATAAAAATGTTACTACGAACTATCATAGTTATGATTTCTCGTGAGTTATAACCCACAATTTTGCCCGATTTCTCACCAAGAAATATTTACTCAATCTCCCTTATTAATGATTTCTCATTGATTATAACCCACACTTTTGGTTGTTTTTGGCCAAATCACTTGTTACGTTCCTGCATAAAGATATTCATGGAAGCTTCCAAATTCATGATTTCTCGTAGATTATGAGTTATGCATGTGAGCTCCCAAATTCACGATTTCTCGTGGATTATAACTCATAATTTTGGTCATATTTGGCCAAATTACTTTTTATGTTCTCACATATAATATTTATCCAATCTCCCAAATTAATAATTTCTCATGGACTATAACCCATAATAAGCCCGTTTTATTTTAATTTACTTTTACATCACCAAAAATATTATGCGAACTAACAATTCACGATTTGTCGTGAACTATAACCCACAATTTTGAATGTTTTTACCAAATCACTTACTGTGTTCTTGCATTGAAATATCAATGCAGACTCTCAAATTCATATGTTCCCATGGACTATAACTATAATTGACTGTTTTGAGCCAAATTACCTTGTGTTCTCACACTAAACTATTTATTCGTCCTCCCATAGTAAAGATATTTTGTAGAATAACCCCATAATCCAACGAAATCACTTCTTGCATTCTCGCATAAAACTCTTTATTCGATCCCAAATTAACGATTTCTCTTGGTCTATAATTTATAATTTTGGGTGTTTCTCGTCAAATAACTTTTCCTGTTCCTGCATGGAAATACTTATGCGAGCTCCAAAATTTATGATTTCTCGTGGACAATTTGAAAGTTTTTGACCAAATCACTTGTGTTTCTGCATGGAAACATTTGTGCTAACTCTCAAATTCACGATTTCTCGTGGACTACAACCCTTAATTTTCAACATTTTAGACCAAATTACATGGTGCGTTCTAGTAGAATAATATCTATCAGATCTCCCAAATTAACAATTTTTCATGGACTATAACCTACATCTTTGATTGTTCTCAGCCAAATCTTTTCTTGTATTCTGCTATAGAAATGTTCTTGTGAGCTATACCAGATTCACAATTTCTCGTGGAACCGACAATTTTGACCATTTTCTAGTAAATTACCTTTTGTATTTTCGTATACAAATATTTACCTAATCCTCCAAACTAATGATTTTTCATGAACTATAACCCACGATTTTTGTTGTTTTCGGCCATATGTTTTCTTACATTTCTGCATAGAAATATTTATGCGAGTTCCTTAATTAACGATTTCTCATGGATAACAATGCACTATTTTGATTATTTTACACCAAATTACTTTTTGTGTTCTCGCATAGAAATGTTTATGCGAGCTCCCAAATTAATGATTTCTTCTAAACTATAACGCATAATTTTTGCTGCTTTACGCCAAATAACTTTTTCCATTCCCACATGAAAATATTTAAGCGAACAATCAAATTCACTATTTCTTGTGGACTACAACTCACAATTTTGGCTATTTTTGGCTGAATCACCTTTTGTGTTCTCATCTAGAGATATTTATATAAATCTCACAAGTTAATGATTTCTCGTGGATTATAACCTGCAATTTTGGATGTTTTCGGCCAAATAACTTGGTGAGATCCTGAGGTCCCAAATTTACGATTCCTCATAAACTATAACCATCAATTTTCGGCAGAATGACTTCTTGTCTTCTTGTATAAAAATATTTATTCCATCTCCCATCTTAATGGTTTTTCATAGACCATCATCCACAATTTTGGCCATTTTATGCCAAACCTATATTTGCATTCTCACATAAAAAAATTTATGTGAACTTGCAAATCCACAATTTCCTGTCGATTATAACCCACAATTTGACCGTTATAGCCAAATCAATTTTTGTGTTCTCACATAGAAAAATATTTGCCCCATATCCTAATTTAATGATCTCTCGTAGATGATAACTCGTAATTTTGGTCATTTTCACCCATCACTTATGGCTTCCTGCATAGAAATATTTATGCCGAAGCTTCCTGAGTCAATTTTCATTTGAATCAATTATTTTGTTCTCGCATATAAATGTTTATATGATGTCCCGAATTAATGATTTCTTATAGACTATAACCCATAAATTCAGCCGTTCTATGCCAATCATTTTTTGCATTTCACATAAATATATTTATGCGAACTATCAAATTTATGATTTGTTGTAGACTATAACTGACAAGTTTGCTCGTTTTCCGCCAAATTGCTTTTCTATTCTCCATTAGAAAAATTTATCCGATCTCCAAAGTTAATTATTTCTCTTTGATTTTAATCACTGTTTTAAATATCGGCCGATAATCGATATTATCGGCCGAGTTATCGGATTTGGGAGCTCTCCGCTAGGATAAATTGGATTTTTAATCGGTTATCGTTTTTCTAGGTTTATCGGCGATTTATCGGCGTTATCGGCACTTATCGGCCGATAAGTAAGACTTTTTTATCGGGATTATCGGGATTATCGGCCAATTTGGACTAACATTATATTTTTTCAAGGCTATGATGCAAGTTTCGCTTTCTACAGTTAGTTAATGATTCTAAACATGATGATTTACATTTTGGTATGTTTATATTTCATTAAGCATGATTAGATTACATTTTTTAATTGGTATATTATATATACACATTATTTAGTATATCACTCCGATAAATACTACTTATCCCCGATATATCCCCGATTTCCGCTATCCGATAAGGATTTTGGCCGTCCGATAAATCCCCGATAACCGATATTTAAAACCTTGATTTTAATGCATAATGTTGGCCGTTTTTGTTCAAATCACTTGTATTCGTTTTCTTTTGGATTATAACCCACAATTTTTACCGTTTTCATCCAAATCAGTTCTTGTGTTTATGCAAGGAAATATTTATCCAATCTTCTAAATTGACAATCTCTCATGGATTATAGCCCACAAGTTTGGTCATTTTCGACCAAATCACTAATTGCATTCCTACATAGAAATGTTTATGCAAGCTCCTAAATTAACAATTTCTTGTGGTGTCCCATAATTTTGGCCGTTTTATGGCTAAATCACTTCTTGCATTGCCACATAGAAATGTTTGTGCAAGCTCCTAAATTAATGATTTCTTATGGTGTCCTATAATTTTTGTTGTTTTATGCATATCATTTTTTGCATTCCCGCTAGTGTTTTAAATATTGGCTGATAAACCGATATTATCAGCAATTTATTGGTTTTAGGGGCCTTCTGCTATGACAAGTTTGATTTTAAATCGGTTATCGTTTTTGCATGTTTATCGACGATAATGCGGCGATAAAGTTAAATATCGGCTGATATTATCGGCCTTTAGTTTGGGTTTGAGTTTGCTCTTTAGATGTTAAAGAATTATAAACTATTTGTTGCTTTTGGAACTTGGTTGTTTGGTGATTAGCTTATGTTTGTTTATGAACATTGACATGGCTCATAACTATTAAATCCCAACTTAGTGAGTTAGTTTATCATCTCGTGAATACATAATAATTATAATTATGTTGATGATTCTTCATTCTTTATGTTAGCTTGTTATTTGCTTGTATGTTATTCTATTTTTACTAACTATGCACTCGAATGGTTTCATCATGCAATCAAGAAGCAAGTTTCTGCCATTGGTTAGTGATCCTAAACATGATTATTTACATTTTAGTATGTTTATATTTCATTAAGTATAGTTAGATTATATTTTAGGATATTATAATATGTGTATACGCTATCCGGTAATACCACTCCGATCAATACTGCTTATCATATCCCCGATATCTGCTATCCAATATGGATTTTGACCGTCAGATAAATACACGATAACTGATATTTAAAACCTTGATTCCCACATTAAAATATTTATGTGAACTATCACATTCACAGTTTCTCATGGACTATAATCCACAGTTTTGACCGTTTTTAGCTAAATCACTTTTTGTGTTCTCACCTAGATATTTATTTGATCTCCCAAATTAATGATTTCTCACGAGCTGTAACTCACATTTTTTGTTTTTTTTCAGCCAATTTACATATTACGTTTCTGCATAGAAATATTTATGCAAGATCTTAAATTCATGATTTCTCATGGGCTATAACCCACAATTTTCGGCGTGTTTGGCTAAATTACTTATTGTGTTCTCACATAGAAATATTTATTTGATCTCCCCTAATGAACAATTCTCGTGGACTATATCTCACAATTTTGGTTGTTTTACACTAGTTCACCTTTTTGCCTTCCCACATAAAAATATTTATGCAAACTATCAAATTTATGCGAATTATCAAATTTACAATTTTTGCATTCACACAAAAAAAAATTTATTCCAAATCTCTTCACGTGTTTCCACATGGAAAATTTTATGCAACCTTCCCCTTTCCCTGGTGATAGGAGGTCTAACAAGATAATATTTCATCTCTACCCTCTTGCTTGCGTGGAAGGCCAGTGATTGTTCAGTAGGACCTTTGATTATAACAAATATAGTAAAGCACAGTGCATTGTGATGTAGATTTTAGCTTTAAAAGTTTCGAGGGAGGTTAGCAAAAAGTTAATAAGTTTTTCATCGCGATGCCTTGGGAAAAATACGAACATGCTATGTTAAGAAATACTAGTTACTATGCTTCTATTTCTTTGTAGATATTACTTTTGACGATTTTGTACAGTATCTTGTATTGTACAATCTCACTGATTATATATTTATTTTATTTTTGACCTTTTTTCTGTTTATTTTTGTTGAATCAGGATAAGAAGGAAAACAGACCCAGAACCTCTTTATGTATCCTGAACAACCGAGTACCCCCAGCAGAACAATGGAAGTTGCTGATGTTTACTCATTTCAACACCAACGAATCAAACTATGCCTAAGAAATGAGGCCTTGCAAGCTAACTCAGGAACTGTTCTTTGTCGTATAAAAGACTTTGTCTTTTTCTTTTTCTTTTTTTTTTAGCTCAATAAGGTTTGTGCAGAATAATTGATGTATTCTTTCTAGATGCAGTGATGAGATAACATTATATGGATTACTTTGCTTATGATCTCTTTTTCTTCTTCTTCCTCTTTTTTTTTCTGACTTGATAAATGTTGCATTAACACTGTTAGGGTATAAAATTGTAACTCTCACCACAACTTTGGAGCTATGGTGCAATGACGAGGTCCTTGAACATGAAGAGAGCAATCCATGTTCAATTTCCCACCGGCCACAAATTTGAAGCAAATTATCAAAAAGACGAGCATAGCTATTTGATTCTAAGTTTTGGTCTGTAAAACGGACGTTCAACCTGTGGTAGTAGTGGCAGTGTCTTGTGATGCCTATGCCTGCCCTGTTCAAATTTCACCCGAGACCCTTCTGATATTGATTACGTACATGAATAAAATTTTCTAATGACGACCAATATGAACATTGTGCTCGGAAACACAAAGGTACCACGTCACTACAAATTGAAACATACAAACATCTCCTCATATCACAGCTTCAAGCCGGTGCGATGGAGACTCTATCAACCTGAACAACAAACTCAAGTGTTGCTGATGGCGGTATCCGATGTCCTTCACCCAAATCCGCCCCCTCGTCGCCAAACCCTAACGCTGCTGGTACAATCACCCTCCTCTTCCCTCCGGCGCGCATCGTTCTTAGTACATACTCAATCCCTTCACACATTCCTTTTGTGTAAGGCCTTGATCCTACTACTAGTGCTAGAGGCCTTTTCCCTTGTTCAAATGTGTTGACGAATTCTTCTTCATTGCTTCCTGCTACTTTGCCTTTGAGGTCGATGACGATTAGGTCGCCTTGTTTTAGTGTGGCTCCTCCTCCGACTTTTATGTCATAGTATCTGAAACATGAACAAACAGGCAAACGTTACTACCTTCGGTGAAATTTGTGGTTATTTACCTAGGGGTTCTATTCGCCAACATGAATCTGTAGGGATGGTTGGTTTCCAAAGTACGATACTACAGGGGGTCTATGCGCAATTGAATCACTACACTGTCGAGAAGACAACAGAAGAGATATTCTCGATGACAGTTTAGATGAGAAGATACTATCAGAACTCGTCCTGTAAAGATACTGTTTAGTAAATGTCGTCTCAGATTACTTTGATTATACAAAGTTTTTCGTGCACCTGATTCCATTCGGCAATGCCACCTCGACCTCACTCTCTGCATCCTTGGTATTAGCCTCCTGCTGAGACGCTTCAAACCTGGTCTTGATCTGCTCCGACACCACTCCGAACGCGAGGAACCCGACCCATGCGAGCCCAGCGCCGAGCCCGAACCGCCTCGTCAGCGACGATGCAATCCAGTCTGTGGACTCTGCGGGCGTTGACACGGATTTTGGCTTCGGTAGTGTTGGTCCTGGCTCTGGCTTTGCAATCAGAGGTTGGTTTGCCTGAGTCTGAGGCTGGGACTGAGTTTGTTGTTTGCCTTGTTGAGAAGTGCAGTTGGCGAGCTGAGTTTTGGAGAGAAGAGGGCGAGGGAGATTAATGGCTGGTGAGCCTAAGAATGCAGCCATTGTTGATTCAATGGGAGCCTTGTCAGGAGATGGTATGTCTCTATTGAGATTGCACTTTTTTTTGTGCACAAATTAGAAGCAGCCAGTGATGCCTTATCTCGAGAGAGCCAGCCTCTTTGTGAATTAGTCTAGGCCCGTGACGTGCACGTGTAGTTTTGATTGTAATTATGTGGTATCTAATTTGTTTTTGCCCCCCATATTATCTCCCGAATTGTAACTACTTCTAAATTATCCACCAAATTATTATCTTAATTAAGGAGTATATTTAATTCGAGAAAAAAAAAATCCGTCCGATCTCGTGGTTGATAATAATTAAGTCATGCTTAAAGTTTCATTCTTTTCATGCATGATATGATACTATGCATAAGGAGGATTATGTTAAGTAAGCGGATTTCTCTCGCTTGGCTTTAATTAAATAAAATAATATATTTGAGATATCCCTTCTCAATGTTGATGATTCGCTTATTTTAAACAAAGAAAGAACATCAAATACATTTTTAAATGGTTGGAAATCACTAAAAATGTTACGGTTACGGATATACATGCGGATATATAAGCGGATATGTATGCGGATACAAAACGGCTATGAGAAAACTAGATAGTATTGAGGAAAAACATAGTTCATGGGATACAAACGAGTTTGTTAATATATTCACTATAACTGAAAAGTTAAGATTAGACATATTGATCATCAAAATTAACCACAAATCCATAATCTAAGAATAGAAACTCTCGTGAGAGTATGACTAATATGTATTCGGATATTTCGGATACGAATACGGATATTTTACTACAAAACCATATTCGTAACCATATCCTATTTGTTATAGATTTGAGTAACCATATCCTTATCCTAACGGATACGGTTACAGATATTTCCTCGGATACGGATACGGTTTAGCACTCCTAGTTATAGCTCATGAAATTGTGAATTTTGATCATCGTGAAAATATTTTTCAATGGGTCGAAATGTTCAAAGGAAAATAATCATGGCTTATAGCTAATGAACTCATGATTTTAGCCTCCGTAAAAAAATATTTACCGGCCAATGGGTCAAAACAACTAAAAATGATAAAAAAAGTGGGTTATAGCTCATGAAATCGGACTTCATAAAATTATTTACCAATGGGTTAAAACGACTAAAAAATGCCAATAATAGTGGGTTATAGCTAGCTCATGATAATTTGAAGTTTAACCTCGACGAAATTATTGCCATTGAGTCAAAATGACTAAAAAATGATTAAAAAAATCATGGGTTATAGCTCATGAATTCGTGAATTTTTGTCTCCGTAATTTTTTTCCCTTGGACCAAAACAACTATAAATGGCCAAAAATCATGGACTATAGCTCACCAAATTTTAAAGTTTGATCTCCGCATAACTATTTGCTAATAGGTCAAAATGACTCAAAATAGTAAAAAAGCATGTGTTATAGCCTCGAAATTGTGAATTTTAGTCTCTGTGAAATTATTTGCCAATGGGTTAAAATGATTGGAAATGGCCAAAATTTATAGGTTATAGCTTATAAAATCATAAAATTTGACCACCGTTATTTGCAAATGAGTTGAAATAGCTAAAAATGGCAAAAAAATCATGGGTTATAGCTTGTGAAATCATGAATTTTAATCACCGTGAAATTATTTGCCAAAAATTATTTGCCAATGGGTCAAAACGACTAAAAATAGAAAAAAATAATGGATTACAGCTAATGAAATCATGAGTTTTTTCTCTACAAAATTATTTACCAAAGGGTCAAAATGATTAAAATGGCCAAAAATCATGAGTTATAGCTCACGAAACCTTAATTTTTGACATCGCGCAATTATTTACAATAGGTTGAGATAACTAAAAATAGCAAAAAATGATAGGTTATAACTCATGAAATCATGAATTTTGGCATCTACAAAATTATTTACCAATGGGTTGAAATGACTAAAAATTTCTACAAATTGGGGGTTATAGCTTACGATTCGTGAATTTTGGCTTTCGTAAAATTATATGCCAAAGGGTCAAAATGACTAAAATTGGCCACAATCATGTGTTATGGCTCATAAAATCGTGAATTTTGCCTTCATGAAATTATTTACCAATGGGTCAAAATGACTTAAAGTGGTAAAAAATTATGTGTTATATAGATCACGAAATCGTGCATTTTAGCCACCATGAAATTATTTACCAATTGGTTGAAACAACTGAAAATTAAAAAAAAATTTGAGCTCATGAATTTGTGAATTTTGGCCTTCGTAAAATTATTTAGCAATGGTTGAAATGACTAAAAATGACCAAAAATTATGGGTTATGTCCTAGAATATCATGATTTTTTGCCACAACGAATATATTTGCAAATGGGTCAAAGTGACTGAAAATGGTAAAAAAGTTCATGAGTTATATACTCATCAAATCGGGAATTTTAGCCTCCGTAAAATTATTTACAAATGGGTGTAAACAATTAAAAATGACTAAAAATCATGGAAGCTTAGAAAATCATAAATTTTTAAATTCGTAAAATTATTTAACAATGGGTCAAAATGACTAAAAATAGCTTATAATCTTGGGTTATAGCTGATGGAATCGTGCATTTTAGTCTCTCCAAAATTATTTCCCAACCAATCAAAATGACTAAGAATAGCTAAAAGTCAAGGCTTATAGTTCACAAAATCGTGAACATTAGCCTCCATGAAATTAGTTTCCAAGGGATCAAAATGACTCAAAACAGACAAAAATCGTGAATTATAGTTTACAAAATTGTGAATTTTGGCCACCGTGAAATTATGTGTCGCCAATTTAAAATGACTAAAACAGGAAAAGAAGTCATGGGTTATATATAACTCATAAAATTACTTATTTTGATCTCCATAAAATTCCGTACCAAATGATCAAAACGACTAAAAATGGCCAAAAATCGAGTATTATAGTTCATGAAATTATGTTATTTTCCCTTCGCAAAATTATATGCCAATGGGTCGAAATGACTAAAAATAGGTAAAATTATTAGTTATGGCTCGCAAAATCATAAATTTTAGCCATTGATTTTTTTTTTGTAAATGGATCAAAATTACTAAATTTTTTTTGATAATGGGCTAAAATGACTAAAAACAGCAAAATGTCACAGATTGTAACTCATAAAATTGTGAATTTTAGTCACTGCAAATTTTTTTGGCAAAAGGTTTGAAGGACTAAAAAACAGAAAAAATCATGTGTTATAGCTCATTTTGGCCTTCGCAAAATTATTTATAATGGGTCAAAACAAATAAAAATGGCCAGAATTCAATGTTATAGCTCATAAAATCATGAATTTATGCTACAATGAAATTATTTGTATATAGGTTGAAATGATTAAAAATATACAAAAATCATGAGTTAGAACTTATGAAATTGTGAATTTTTTCCTTCACAATATTATTTGTCAATGGTTTGGAAAGACTAGAAATGGCTATAAATCGTGGGTTATAACTTATGAAATCATGAATTCTGACCTCCACTGAATTATTTTCTAATAAGTCCAAACATTATAAAATGACCAAATTTTGTGGGTTATAGCTCACAAAATCATGAAGGACTCCGCAAAATTATTTACCAATTAGTCAAAATGACTAAAAATGGCCAATAATCATCGGTTATAGCTAATAAAATCATGAATCTTATACTCGATCAAAACTGTTAGGTTATAGCACATGAAAATGAGCTTTAGCAATCATAAAAATATTTGCAAAGGGGTCAAAAAGGAAAAAAAGGCCAAAAATCGTGCATTATAGCTCATGAAATTATTAATTCTAGCCACAACAAAATAGATTTTCAATGGATCAAATAACTAAAAATAACCAAAAATCATGGATTATAACTCATAAAATCGTCAATTTTAGCCTCCATACAATAATTTGCCAACATGTCAAAACATCTAAAATTTATGGGTTTTTTCTTATCAAATCTAAAATTTATGGGTTTTTTCTTATCAAAATTTTGACCTCCACAAAATTATTTGGGAATGGGTTGAAATGACTAAAAATAGCTAAAAATCTGAAGTTATAGTTCATGAAATTATGAATTTTTATCTCCACAAAATTTTTTCCCTTGTGTCAAAATGACTAAAAATGACCAAAAATCATGCATTAAAGTTTACAAAATCTTGAATTTTTGTATTCTTTTGGCAATGGGTTGAAATGATTAAAAATGCCTAAAAACATGGGCTTAAAGCTTATGAAATTATGAATTTTAGAATTCATGAAATTTTCTAGAAATGGATCAAAACACTTAAAATGACCAAAATCATGGGTTTCAGCTCATAAAATCGTGAATTTCATACTTTGTGAAATTATTTCTCAGGCAGTCAAAATTACAAAGAACAGCTAATAATCATGGATTTTGGCTCAAAAAAACATGAATTTTAGCCATCGCAATTTTTTTTACCAATTGGTTAAAAATGACTAAAAATAGTAAAAAAAATATGGGTTATAGCTCATGAAATTAAGAATTTTGGCTTCCAGGAAACCATTTGCTAACTGGTCAAAATTATTAAAAATGGCTAAAAATCATGGGTTGTAACTTATAAAAACGTAAAATTTGAATTCCTCAAAATTATTTACTAATGGATCAAAATGACTGAAAATAGAAAAAAAATTTATTGGTTATAGCTAATGAAATCATGAATTTTGGCCTCTGTAAAATTATTTACTAATGGGTTAAAATGAGCAAAAATAATCAAAAATCATGGGTTATATTCACAAAGCCATAAATTTTGGCCACATGAAATTATTTGTCAATGAGTCAAAATGACTATAAATGGACAATAATCATGAGTTACACAATTCATGAGATTGTAAAAATTTATCTCCACGAAATTAATTGCCAATGGGTCAAAGCAACTAAAAATACTCAAAATTTATGGGTATAGCTCATGAAATTATTAATTTTGGCCACCATAAAATTATTTACCAAGGGGTAAAAAATGATTAAAAATAGACAAAAAAATTCATGGGTTATAGCTCATGAAATCGTGAATTTTGGCCTTAGCTAAAATTTGTGTATTATGGCTCATGAAATCGTGTATTTTGCCCACAACAAAATTATTTACTAGGAGG